CATTAACACCCTCCAAATAACCAGGCTAACTAATTGTGCCTAATGACAAAACTTCATTGATTACGCGTCGAAAAATAGTATATATTTAAAAAACTTATATTTTCGTAGAACCTGAAAAATCCGCAAATTTTATTTCAGAAATTGCTTTAAAATAATCCACACTAACGAATAAGCTACTAGACAGCGTTCAATTTTTGTTGCACTAAAGTGATAACTTGCCGTTTTAAGTCCCTCCACAACGTCAACTGTATTTCAGAAGAAAATCATATAAAATAATTTTATTGACAACGTCGCAAATTCTATGCGAAGGCCATAGATGACATACCGATGATCGATTAACTGTCAATCGAAAATGTCATAAAATTGCTGGCTTAAGATGATGTAAATAAATATATTTTCTTAATTTTTATGCTTACAAAGAAGATTCGTTACATTTTTGTGCTTAAATTAGATCATTCTACGTCTATATAAGGTAATAAAGTGCTAATATGTGATGTTTTTACTGAATCCGTGTAGAAATTTTACATATTTACTGTCCGTCGCCTGTACCTAAAATACGTTTCTTTTGCCGCTTTTTAAAGATAAAACACATTCATCCAACAATTTTTATGCTTAAAATTTTTCAATTTAAGATAATCTTGAAAAAAAAAATCCCAAAAAAGTGTTAAATGCTTGGTGACCTATTATGCACCAGAGCCGATAGATAGTAATAATAATAGAAGAAACATTGTCTGTTGGGGTTACAGTAGGAACGACTTCTTGAGCGATAATATTTTACCTTTTCAAAATTTACAGGGGATTTTCTATGTCCCGTATTCCGATGCGCCATATGGTCTACTACTCTATACGTTTAGCTATTTCTGTAGGTATTTTTAGAGAGAAACCAATTAAATTACATTTATGCATCTTAACACGACAACACCTTTAGTTAAGCAAAAAAAAAATTGGTCAAGTGCGAGTCGGACTCGCGCACGAAGGGTTCCGTACCATTTATTATCTATACAACATTAGACACTATATTATTATAAACTTTTTTTCCGATTTAGCTGAAATTTTGAATGCGCGTATAAGTAATTTATAAAAAAATGAAGAAACACATTACTAAAAATTGTATTAATCAATAATAAATATGTAAAAAGTAAAAATAAATATGTAAAAATTAAAAAAAAAACGATTAAAAAAAGTCGCCTTGACTAGGATTCGAACCTGCCTTACTACGGCTCACACGTCAAAGCAGCGTAAAGTCCTAACGCTTTAAACCACGCGGCCACCGAGGACTTGAAAGATTCTATGTAAAATTCTTAATAATAATGATAATGTTTAGTGAAAGTACTTTTTTATTTATAAACATTTATTTAATTCAGTTTTTAGTATTTGTTCTTATAGCGACAACATAGATACATTATCTGTAAAAATTTCAACTTTCTAGATATAACGGTTCATAACATAGACCTTTGTGACAGACGGACGGACGGACGGACAGCGAAGTCTTAGTAATAGGGTTCCCGTTTTTACCCTTTGGGTACGGAACCCTAAAAATGTTTATTATTTAATATCGACATTTTAATAGTATAATAACCGGAATTATTAAATATTTTTATTTATTACAAAATATAATTTTCACTGGGTTTAGAAACAACGGATTAAATTAAAGCAAAACCTGTTTTTCACTGAAACGTTAAAGTTTGGATAGACTGTCATGTAGATAATGTAATGAGACTTTCATTTAGATATTGTCTAATATCATTTAGCATAATCTCGTTTAAGTAAACAATAATTTTACAAGCAAGTAATTAATGATCGCTATTAATCTTGAGGATAAAGTTTGCGTCACGCGCTTCAAAGTGTATTGAAATTCATCCTAATGGATAGTAGTCATTTATTGTAAGTTAAATACTATATTTGTCCTGCAAACAACCTTAGTGTTTATTTATTTGATGAAATTGATTACTATTTCGTTGGACAGTATTATGGCTAGTACTTCACTTTCTGATTAAATTATTGTTTAAGAAATTGATCTTTTCAATTAATCAATGTTTAAAAGAACGATTTTGGTAGGTATTTTCTGCACTCGTTCTGCTCTAACTGGCCATTCATAGCAATACTGAGCTACAATAGATTCTTGTGGTCGCAGTGGTGAGTGCCACTAGAGATCCATTATTAGGAAGACACAAATACAATACAATTCATAGCAACACGAAAACTATGCCACGATTGTACACTGATGAATTCAAAAGAATAAATTAATCTATATTTTAAAATTTTCAATTTTTTATTTTGTGCAAAAAGTTTACTTTTAGCTGTAATTTTTTTAAACATTATTTGCATTATTAAAATTTTTTTTAAACATTATTAAAAATTATTATTCATTTTATCATAATGCAGAACTAGTGTAAAACCACATTTAATGAAATTGTTATTTTATGGCACATAAGTTTTAACTTGGAATTAACAAGCGTATTTAACATCCCTTTTTATCCGTTAAATTAATATCATGTATTTTAGATATCTACTATGAGAGACGAAACCTATAAAGTGGAGAAGGAACTTGAGAATCGTCATGCAGTAGTTTCAAGCATGGAAAGCATAAAAATTTCCCTGAACGGCGACAAAAAAGCGCCAAAAATGGAGGGTTACCTATTTAAAAGAACATCGAATGCTTTTAAAACTTGGAATAGAAGATGGTTCTATTTGTTTGATAATAAATTGGTATATAGGTAAATA